TCCGTGCCAATATAAAAACAAAAATGTTTGCGCAGTCGACAGGATTCGAACCTGTGCGGGGAGATCCTAATGAATTTCTAGTCCATCGCCTTAACCACTCGGCCACGACTGCGGGACGGGTAGGGGGCTCTGAGATGTGGTAGTAACTCAAGAGCTGGGGTTTCTGTCATGGATGAAACGTCGCATGTAGCCGCTCAACATCTATACAAGAGAGGGCGCTGCGGTCAAATGCGTATATAATCGCGTTAAACTTTGCATGCATTGGCTCAACGTTTATAGACGAGAGGGCACTGCGGTCAAATGCTCAACTGCGTATATAACCACGATCCATACCACACATTCTCTTTCTGACATGGACCGTTGACTTAAAGGGATACTTCAACGAAATTTGAAATATTCCCGTCGTGTTCAAAAGTAGGTTGAATATGATCCACAATATCCGGAAATGACAATCGCACGTTTGTATTTTGAGCCTGGTGGCTGTATTTTTCGTTATAAACGGCCCACTCTGGCAAGCGCTCGGAGAAGGCCCAGCGGAGACCACGTGACATCCAACGCAATCGTGATGTAGGTCGTCTCAAGACGAGCAAAGCTACAGCGAGGCTGACGTCGAGAGGATGGCCTAGTCGTTCCAGCCACCGAAGCGGCTGCTTTTGTACGAATTTTGAGTGACGGGTTAATCTTCTATAATCTTGTAGGGGGACAATAGCGACTTCTGCGACACACAAAAGGCCTTCTCGGGAAGAGGGGAGTTCCTCCTTCCCCTCTTCTCTCGTCTTGGCCGGAGGCGAGACAACCTCCGTCACTAGCTTTCAAGGTTCCTAGACGGGCATTACAAGCGAGGCGTTAGCGACATCCACCAGGTGCTCTTTACTAATCGTTTAATTCGTTTTAAAATTCCTTTTCGTGACCTTTTTAACAAGATATTGGCATGTTCGATGTGATGTTGCTTTTTTGAACACATATAGACCAAAAAATGAGCGCCGAAATTTCGTTGTAGTATCCCTTTAAAGGGATACTCCACTGGTTTTTTCATTGTCTCCAATTTGCTTGAAATTTTGCTAAACTAACCAACAAACATTGTGAAAATAGTATCCCAAATATTAGGTCAAAATATTGTTTTTTTGCAAAGTTATTGAATTTACAGTTTTGGTTCTCACCGTGTTTTTCAAGCTCGAAGTCTCTACTGGCAACAATGAAAAAGTGACGTCAGTGGAAGGCAGGGGTTCACTCTTTGGGCTGTAGATTTTGTTTTAAACTGATTCGAAGCAGTTTCATGGTGTCAAATAAATTCTTGGGAAGCTCGCTGCAGTACCCGCGCTCCAGCACGGAACAAATGATTGGCATATTCTATTTCTTAAACTGCTTGGTCGACTGGCAAGCCTGCCTGCCACTGACGTCACGGCACTGAAAAGTGCGCGTATATTTAAATGTTGGTTTTTGCATCATTTTCATTTGCCGATTTCGCAATACCTATTATGAATTTCGCGATTCTAAATAGCATACCGGAGAGAGTAAAGGCCGGGGAGTCAGAAAATATAGTTAGTTAAGGTAGCTCAAAAAATCGGTGGAGTACCCCTTTAAGCAGTGGAGATGCGGATCCAAGCTGATCCGCTAGAAGAACCACTGGCTCTGCATTTCACCGACCATGAAGCAGTAATAATGAAGTCGAAACGCAATTCGGAACTCAGCACTACCTATGAGCAATAAGAAAAAATCAGAATCATCAGCACCACCAGAGCTTCGCCCCAATCAACATCATTCACCACGTGGAGATGCGGTAATTTTTTTTTATACAATTGCTTTTTCGCTGCGTATCCCCATATCCCCTGCCAGCCCCGCGACCGAGCTATGTGCTCCCCGCCAGCACAATCCGACCCCGGGAGAAGCGAAGGACGGCCGTGCTTCATCTTCGTTCGTTAGTTATGGGCACGTTCGATACAGAAAAACAATGTGATTTTCTAGGGGATGTTTGGACTGTTTCATATAAACAATACAGTATAGACCACTTACAACGTAACCGCTTATAGTGCAGGACCGGGTATAACGCGGCTTTTTTAAACCACCGGTTCGCCTCTCACAGAACTCCATGTAATTACATACCGCTTAAAATGCAGGCGCGCGAAGGGAAATACCGGTTATAGTGCGGTTTCTGCGGTCAGTCGGTGCGACCGCGCCAACTGACCGGCGCAGCGAGCACGCTTCCCTGTGCGACAATAGATAACGGCACGAGCCGCAAGCGGCACTCGCGGGACAAGAAGGTTGCTCGAAGAAGTGAGGAGAAACGAAGAGAGAGGCTTCAGGTGCCATAGCGACGGAGAGACGCACGCACATGTCGTTCACGTGCGTGCGTCCCTTCGCTGCGTTGGAAACAACGACAGACCAATCGCAAGTCGAGAAGTGTTCGCGCGCGTTGCATGCCGGTCGCGGGCCGGCTGCTTCTATCCGCAAACATGGCGTCGGTTGTTACCGTCAACGTAGACGGCGTGGCGGAAGCTCATCGTTTCGCGTAAAAGCGCTATCCTTGACTGTGAAGTTTCGTTGTGTGTCACCATGATAACCCAGCACGTACTAGAAGGGAAGATCCACCTACTCGTGCGGCGATGTCGTGGCGGCACTCTCAAGACGGCAGAAACGCCCATGTCGTCGTGTTTGTTTACTTCGACCACAGTGGTGCTTTCGAAGCATTTGTGTTTTCGAGCATCTCCCAGATTTCTTATTTGGAGCATTTCATGCGTGTGCTCAAGTTGAAGGGATTACTGGCGCGTACCGTATAAAGGATGCGAATTTTCACGCGTTTTCATCACCGGAGAAAAGTGATTAGGGTTAGCAATCCTGAACGCTCGCAACGTCCGTCCGCAACCCGCGACGCCGTTAAAAGGCTGCGCCAGGCAAAAGTCACTCATTTCTTTCAAAATGTGTGACACACTTGAGAGAGAAGTGCACTAGTCTGGTGAAATAAAGACTTTCCTCAAACTAAGCTTTATTTTTCGTCTAATATAAAATAAATTGTTTTACAAAGGTAAGTTGTCTCATGGCATGTATTTTGGCCTGAAAAATTGATGTTCTCGTTATAGCGCGGTACCGCTTATAGTGCGGATTTTTGCGACTCCCGCGACATACGTTATATGCGGTCTACACTGTAATTAGAACGGTTTTTGATTTGGGCTAGTTGGTTGAACATGTTTAGGGGTTAAAAGCGCTAAAAACGACAGACGAGTAGGAGAAACACACACCACAGAGCGCTCTGTAGTGTGTGTTTCTCTTACTCGTCCGTCGTTTTTAGCGCTTTTACCCCCTAAACTGTAATTAGAAATACACGGGTGTGATATAACCGGGCTCAACTGTATGTTTGGCCCATTCCATTGATATCTGGAGAATTTTGGACTGTGAGAGTCCATGTGTGCCACATTTAAACTAAAACAAAAAAAAAAAAATTCCCTGATAGAAGCACAAATTCCCCGAGTTTTTCCAGACTATTCAAAATCCCTGAGAATTCCCGGTTGGCAGACACCCTGATGTGCCGGTTATTTACTTTGAATCTTTTATACGGGGAAGGCCTACGCGTGCAGCGGTGAGAGCGTAGAGCTTTTGTTGACGCACACGAAAAATCCACAGAACCCAAGCCATAAACATCTTCGCTGTAAAACGAGAAAGATAAAAGACGGTGGCCATGCTTTTTATTATACGTAGTACTGCCCTAAAAGATAGAGTTGATGTTCAGGAATCATATCTGTATAAGGAAACAGTGTAAAAGTAATTTAGGTACAATTATAAAAGTTTGAACAAATTTGGTTTTGTGCACTTTTGGTTGCGTTTGTGAGTGGAATAATTATTTTGTTGCTAATTTTGCGTCAATTAGAAACCGAGTACAGTAAAAAAGTTTTATGGTAGCTTTATTATAACAGAAAAGAACAAAAAAAAAACTTTCAGAAACTCAAAATATTTTTTTGGTTTTTCCTATCTTAAAATTTGTATGAAACCCTGAAAAAGTATTGGGATGAAAATTTTAGCTTAAAAGATACCGTGGGCAAAGCTCCGTTTGTGAGAAAACAATTAATTCTGAAAAAAACAAACAAAAAAAAACAGCAAGTGTTTTTCAAATCATGCTTGCAAACAACCTGAATATGAAACTTTGAATCAATGTAACTATAAAATATGCACTCGCTGTTGTTTCTTAGAAAAAAGAAACGATTATAGAAAATAACTGTTTCATACTTTGTGTTAATCAAGACCAGGGTCTCCCCTTAATAAACACTGCCTCACGAGCTTTCCCTTTGGTGCAGTACATAAAAATATAAAAAGCGTAAGGATCTCGAGGTAGTGGGTTCCAGTGCCCTCCAATGGAATTTTTTCCAAAATACAAGATGTTAATTCTGGGGCAAATTTGATTTCAGCTTAATTCAGGCTCCGAGATGCAGCGAGTGCTCACAAACCGGTTTAAAAACAAAATCTCGTATTCTAGATGAAGCTTCTTTTAATGCATTACCTGTCTCATGAAACGAGCTGACGTCATCAGTTCGAAGCGCGAAAACGGCCCCTAGTTTCCGCGATCGCCCTCGGTTCCATTGGTTGGCGCGCGTTGACGGGGATCCCATTGGCCGCTGCGCTTCTCAGTTTCTACAACTGCTCACCCCATGGTGCTGCGTGTCCATCAGCGCGCCAATAACATAAAAAGTCCAAGGTCAGCGTGTCCAGGCGAGCAATCGCGCTGACCAGTGATGAAAGGAACGCAGGAGACAAGGGGAGTGGACGAGCGGCTTGCATGCTTTCCCATTCACAACTCATAAGAAGTGCTTAGGTGTGCCTCGAGCTTTTTTTTTTGTTCTTCGTACACACTAAGGACTGCGTGACAACATCCAAAATAATGTTTTGATCACAATGTATCTCCGGGTCCGCATTGCAGCCCCGCCGAAATGCATTCCTGCATTTGTCTTTCCCAAAGCTGGAAACACACCAGTCGGAGCTTGTCTTTGGAGGACAGAGGAAGGGAGGCTCACTGCACTGGGCCTCGTCGGAGCCGTCCAGGCAGTCGGGGACCCCGTCGCACTGCCAGCCCGCCAGGATGCAGGCGCCGTCCCCGCACTGGAACCGCTCGGCCCCGCAGGCATGGGGGGACGTGGGGGGCGTGCTGCTGCTGCTGCTCGGGGCGCCAGGGGTGGACGTCGCTGCTGCATGGACGCGCCTCTCAGCCCTCCGTCGAGCACCTCGAGCGACGGCCCCATCGTGCCCTCGCCCCGACCGGCCGTACCTAAGTCTCGGGTTTTCCGGACGCCAAACGTTTCCGAGCAACCACTCGTCCGTCGTTTTTGTCGTCGCGATAGATTCAACTCGGCTAAAATGGACCGTACCTTAGGACTTAACCAAAGTGGCGAAGCGGGTGAGTTGGTTCATGATAACAAATTTAAAAGTACTAACAAAGACGAGGACAAAAAAGGAAGGCGAACAGGACGAGCGCACTGGAAGCGCTCGTCCTGTTCGCCTTCCTTTTTTGTCCTCGTCTTTGTTAGCGCTTTTAAATTTTATACTTAGGACTTACTTTATGGCGTCGGTCATTCCAAAAGTTTGCCCCACGATGACGACTATACTTTTGCGACTGATTTGTAATAGTGGAGCTGTCCAGAGCGGCCTCAAGACGAAACAGCTCCACCTTAATTGCCCCTCCACCCACCAGTGGCGACCGCCTTTTGCTAAACTTTGCCTTCTGATTCCAATTTCCACAACTAAAACGATCCCGCAAAATCTCGGTGGTGAACGAAATGATAAACCGCGGATGCCGGCACACTGTGGTACTCTCGACTTGGCTGCCCGTCCAAAATCACTCGGGAAAACAAAGACTCTGTATGAGACGAGTGCAAAATGCTGTGTAAGGAATTCTCAAAAAATATTCTAGGAGACGAACAGATACGAGAGCCGTTCAAATACAAAAATGTTCTAAAACGAATATGATTAATGCAAAAAAGCGATTTAGAATATTGGGTAAATATTAGGGGTGTGCGAATACCGAATAGTAGTTTTCGAATCGAATACCGAATCGAATCAAGAAAAAAAAGCCGAATATCGAATCGAATATCGAATAGTGATTTTATTTGTGGGAATTCTTCAAAGTGTGCTGCGAATGAGATTATTATATGTGCAGAGTATGCACCTGTTGCAGAATATGCATCTTGTGGAGAACAAAAGCTAAAATGTAAAAAAATTCTGGTGAAAAAAAAAAAATTAAATAAAAGCAGTTGCTGTTGGATGTTGGCCACTAAAGATCCAATTTTATGGCACAAATATAATCTATCTTCCCTAAACGTCACAAAAAACCCAAAGTTACAGCCACGCATGCCTTTTTTAAGCCCAACCTAACACCGCAACTTTTTTTATAAATGTTTGCATATCTCAGAAAGGGTTTTGGTTTTTATTTTTGGTATTTGGTTTTCATTTTAAGGAAAAAAAAGGGCACCCGGGATTTTATTTCACGTAAATAAACAGATAGGTGTTAAATCTTAGTAAACAGGCTTAAACAATATAGTCTCAAGTAAGAAAAAAAAAAGGCGTGGTTAGGTGGCGCAAGACACCGTCCAACTGCCGCTATGCATCCATTTTTCCGTCTATCTATCCTGTTTTAGAGAGCCTTGATTTAAAAGAGGGAGCAAGCGAAACTGAAACCACGGAGCCGGCTCCAGTGCAGATTGGTCGTAAGTGCGCATGTGTTGTGTTGTCGCGAGGAAAAAGGTGAGCAAGCAGAAGGGCGACGACGCCTACTCTCCCTGCCCTGCCTGCGTGCCCGATCCCGATCGACGCTTTCGTTTTTTCGTCACCTTCTCGCAGTTCGTAATTCAAACGCGGCTATCGAACGGTTGGAAACCCTCTCAAATCTAGGCACAGTATTTTCCCGTTCCGTTTCCTTCCGAATAAGAATTTGTGGCTTGAGGTTCCAAAAGAACGACGACGATAAGACGATAACTCGGCTGGTTTTATCGGCGTGTTTAACGTGGTTTTCCTTCTGTGATCGTGCAGTCGCCGATTTCTGTGAGTGCAGCAGGTGTGTTTTACATCGCTGCTTCAATTTGAAACGAAGGGCTTTACTCGTGAAAAGAATTAGGCATGGCGCGGGATTTCGGCCTCCCAACAATTCCTCTCTGGAAGCGGCGCAAACGGGATGTTTCGGTTGTGATTCAAGGGTAGGTTGTATCACGATCGTGAGTAAATCTTCGTGCTATAAAGTTTGTGGCGCTCGTTACTTTTCTTTTTACTAACCTGTGCGTTAGATTTTTGTGGAATGGTAGGACCAAGAGCTGTTTTTCGCATGGTTTGTCTAACATCACGGCGCTTACATCGGGGGGAAAAATGGCTTTTTTTTGTCAGCTCCGCGGCGACCGCGTGTCTTTGGCCGAATATATTGAATATTCGAGTGACCGAATACTAGGAATTCGATTCGCGAATCGAATTATTCGGGAACTTTCTATTCAATTCAAATTCGTATATTCGAGTATTCGCACACCCCTAGTAAATATTTAACAAACAAAGCGGCAATAATTTTAGAGACCATTATGAAACTTTCGCATCGTTGGAGCTACTGTTGTGCCTTTGGTCTAAAAGAACCTAGTAGAATCGTGCAAGGTTCAAAAGCTTGTCCAAAGCTAAATGACACGAGCACTAGACTTTAATTTCAAAGTGGTTTATGAATGGAAGTGAGAAACCTTAGAAAGTACTTTTACATTAAAACTAAGTAACGCAGGAACTACCTTTATTAGGCACCAAAATAGTATTCTAGGGAGCCAATAAGCTGCAACCCCCGAAAACAGACTTCTCTCAAAGTCCATAAATAAAAAAAAAATCATTCGTTGACAGTTGAGTCGCCTCTCTCCGCCCAAAATGCTTTTCTATCCCAGGAAGGATGTGTCGCTTAACTGCAAATATAAAAATTTAAAAAAAAGCAAAACGTTCCTGGTTGAGCGAGCATGTCCACAACGGAATTAACGCTATGCCATGAATTTGTACAGCAGCGCTGTTAAGGGCTAGTTTCTCCAGTATTGTGACCATCAGCAAACAAATGATAACACGAAACTCTGGACAGCTACCGCCATCTATAAGCAATGGCGGCAACCACGCAACTGGCTTGCCGGTTGTCCGGTTGCCACCATCGCTCATAGATGGCGACAACCTTTCCAGCCTTTCCACTCTGGCTTGCCGACCTGTGGCCGGCCATTACTTCATTCCCACCATAGTACAGCTTCGCTGGTCTTCCTTCTTCCCCAGAGTGGAAAGGCTGAAAGTTTTTAGGGGCGAAGCTCCTAAGGGTCTAGCCTTGTCCGTCCGGCGTCTGTGCTCACATCGATCTTGCTGCTGCTCGTGATCGTGCTCATGAGCTCACGAGCACGTGCTCACGTGCTCGTGTAAGGCAAAAAAAAAAATGATGAAAAAAAAGAAAAGAAATGTTTGTGCGGTTGACAGGGTTCGAACCTGTGCGGGGAGACCCCAATGGATTTCTAGTCCATCGCCTTAACCACTCGGCCACGACTGCGGGACGAGTAGGGGGCCCTGAGATGTGGTAGGAACTCAAGAGCTGGGGATGTCAGGGATGAAACGTTGCATGTGGCCGCTCAACATCTATACAGGAGAGGGCGCTGCGGTCAAATGCGTATATAATCGCGTTAAACTTTGCATGCATTGGCTCAACATTTATAGACGAGAGGGCACTCGGTCAAATTCCATACCACACATTCCACACGTTTCATACCACACATTCTCTTTCTGACATGGATGAAAACGAACTAAAGGCTCGGCATGCTGCGGCTCAGCGTCTACGCAGACAAGCACCACCAGAGCTTCGCCCCAATCAACATCATTCAGCACAGGAAGATGTGGTCATTTTTTTTTTCTTTTTTTTCTCTGCCGTTGTTTGTTTTTGCCTTTTTTTGCTGCAATTTTCTTTCGCTATTTTTTATGAATGAAAAAGGAAAGACTATTTTTTACGCATCCTATGTTTTCTTAAACCACACAGTGGACCCAGGTTCGATTCCTGTGCAAACAGAACATTCGACTGCGGACGAATATCCACAAAGCGCCCAATAAGAAATTTTTAAATCAAATAATAAAAATGTTCCATTCATATTTGAAACTGAATATTCGCACACCCCTAACAAATGCATTTCATTGCACGAAAATGTTGTCAAATGATTTATGCTCCAGTCAAGTGGCAAAAGTATTTCCATTGCTTTCTAGAAGCGATAGCCAATTTTAATTAGGTTGCAGGCGGTACTAATGTTAAGCATAATGAACGTTTCCACTTGGTTTGAAGTGGGAGAGTACGCAAGAATAAGGACGGGCGGGCACGCACTGCAGTTGGCCTCATCGCTGCCGTCAGGGCAGTCGCGGTCCCCGTCGCAGCGCCACGAGGGAAAGATGCAGCGGCCGCTGGGACAGCGCAGCTGCCACGGGGCGCAGGTGGTCGCACTGCAGGCCGCCTCGTCGCTGCCGTCCTGACAGTCCGACTCGCCGTCGCAGCGCCACGACGCCGGGAGGCAGCGCCGCTGGTCCGAGCACTTAAACTCCGTCGGGCGGCACTCCCGTGTCGTTGGGGCTGCGTGCAAGTTTCCCAAAGGGTCAGGCCTCTCCAAAAGCCGATTCGACGCGGCCCGGTTCCACCGCAGAGGCCTCGATCAACAGCTTGCCGTACAGACCCCAATGTAGGTCAACCATTTCTGTTTGCAAAGGTCGTTTCAGATCATTTTTTTACACAATTACCCAAACAACGAGCAGAATTTCATTCATTCATTTGTTTATTTTCTGTGCTCACGGACATCTTGATGCCTTGATAATGATGCACAACAAAATGTTCACAGGTTAGTTACAAAAGTCTTAAAAGCTATGAAATATCGGTTAAAAACATCAATATCTGCTCCACCGACGGTATTGCAAAAGTGTAATATGGGTCACCGGACTGGATTCGATGATGTGATTAACATGTAAAGTCGGAGAAACCCGCAAAGCTCGACTCAGAACGTGAATATTAATAGTCGATGTGAGATCTGGGCAATTAATCAATTAATCCACGAATAGATTTATACAGGAAAACGAGATTGCGCTCACGCCGTCTAGAACTCAAAGTAGGGCATTTACATCTTTCCAAGAGTCTCGCATAAGAATAATAAACAGTACGACCAATGTAACGATCATAAACAATTAGAAAAAAAAAAACACTTCTGAACATTTTCAATCACCTCTTGGCTCGTAAAACTAATACAATTCCAGACTGCAGAGAAAAACTCCAACTTGGCCCGGATTAACGAGAAATATAACCGTAGAATACAGGTTGATGTGGAGAACTCAGGCGTGATTCTAGAAATTACTCCCAGCTTGCGCAAAGAGTCCTTTATAAGGCAGTTGATTAACATGTACAGTAAAGTATAACGAAGAGTCTATGTATACACCAAGATAGCGCGTGCACTCGACTCTTCGCAGAGGATCATTGCCAATCTGGTAACAAAAGTTTATTGTATTCTACCTTTCTAGACAAAGACATAATCGTGGTTTCAGAAAGACTGAGCGTTAGCATGTTCTGACGACACAAATTGCACACACGCCTAACATCCTCCGTAAGTTTTTGACAGTCTTCCAAGGATGTGATCCGGCTAAACAACTTTACATCATCTGCAAGATGACCGAATTGCACACAATTGAGCTCAAATCATAAAAAAATCATTAAAAAATACATTAAAAAAGATTGGCCCAAAGTAAGGAGCCTTGCGGCACACCCGAAGAAGAAACATAAGGCCGGGAATGATGTTAATGCCCGAAACGTAGCTACACGCACAACCGACAGGTGGCCCCCACTGTAAAAACAATTTGTAGAAAATAACAAAAAGTCAGAGGAAATAATGATTAAAAAGCACGACAAGACGGCGGACACAGTGCTACTCACAACTACTTACGCCGTCCTATCAGGACACCACGGTGTGCATTGCCGGGATTGTGGTTGTACTCCAATTTTTACAGATTGTACAGTACTAAACAAAAACAGAAACAAAACCACAAGGGAAATACTCGAGGCTCGAGAAATTCCTAGATTAGGGCTGCAATGTGTCAGCACACCTTCCATATCATTATCCGAAAAAGAATTGCAGTTTTTTGACCAAGCATGACTAGTTTCGGGTTTGTGCCGATGAGTGATGCAGGAATTTTAGCCTTTTTATGTTGCTCCTAAGATTTTTACGATGTGTATTTTATATCTCCCTAATTTGTTTGTGTTGTTGCCGGTAATATATACCGAGCTGCAGCGGAAATAAAGTTCAGTTGTAAGTAGCTCTGTGTCTGTCGTCTTCTGTATCCGTTATCTTGTCGCGCTTTTTAATCATTATGAATCACGAACTTGCCCAACTTTCTACCCTCGTCAGAGAAAAACTAAGCACTTCTTATGAGTTGTGAATGCGAAAGCATTAATGTCCAATTCAACGCCACCAGAAGCAGCCGCAACGCCGGCAGGGAGTGCAGCAGTGTGCTGCGCAGACCGCCCTGGTTCGCTGGTGACTGCTGCGCCGCTGCGCGAGGCAGCAGCGGGAGTGCGAAGGTCGGCGTGGCGCCGTGCTCCGGCAGTGACATCACGCACCCGCACTGCACAGCACCCCCGCCGGCCCCACGGCAAAAGAAAAGCGCAGCAACTGTGTTGCTGCGCTTTTCTTTGTGTTTTATTTCTGGAGCGCGTCCACTTTGACCTTGAGCGACCCCGCCGGCTTTTGTGACGAAGCATCTGATATGACGCGTCGCAGCCAATGGGACTTAAGATGCCGTTTTGCACAGCCAATGGGAATTTAGCTGCCGGTTTTCCCTGCTACAGACGGAATTTAGGTGCCCCTTTTCGCTGCTACAGACAACGCCGGCTTCGCTCTATGGGACAGTTAAGGCTTTCCCATTAAAATGAGGTGTCGCACTTGCAACGCACACATAACATGCTTGCAATGTGTCATTTGCTTTGGTCTACCTTTACTTCGGAACGATTGCTTGGACCATGCGGTGCGAGTAGCTACCCTTGGAGCGTGCTCCTTGCTCCCAGGGTAATTTAGCGTCCATTAGGATTACACCTAAAATCGTGACCGAAGAAGGACCACGTATAATAGTGAGCTGAATTTTCGTCCTCGCTGGGCAAACAAGCCGAGCTAAGAACGAGAGCACCGGCGCAAAGCAGTGAAGCTAGACACGAGCAACGCTAGTGCTGCAGCCTGGAGGCACGTAAATCCAGAAGCTCGACCTTGAGGTAACTGGTGCCACGGAAAAGCGAGCTTTCACTGGGGCGATTAAGCCCACCGCAAAATAAATGCTCGTAGGAATTGCTTTTGCTCAACCTTCTTCAAAAATATCCGCGAACCAATATTAAAATATTTTGTTTTCATTTCTCTAGTATAGAGGTTAACTTATGTTTGTAATCGGTATGTGTTGGAGTAAGTATGACAAATTTATATTGAGACGTGGAATAAGGTTCTTGCACGAGACTGTGATGCAAACTACTTCCAGTTCGGAATTCATGCTTAAAGCATTCGTCTCTGCAATGCTACACTTTGTGCACTTTGGGGCTGTGCTGCCGTATTCACGCAGTAGTTTCTCCGCTCACTCAAGTTTTAAAATAGTCAGCTGCGCCGTAATTTATAGCTTTAGCCCTAAAATTTGGCTACAAAATGAAGCTATAATCAGCAGTATTGATTTTTTTCTAGAATTCTGGCAATCGGCTCGCCGGCGTCATCAACAAATACGTTGGCATAATCTTGACAGAAACACTTCGTACCGACTAAGGTTCGTGGACTGCACTTTGTGTCAGGTCTTTGGGACCGGCTACAGGACAACTGAACCAAGTAAAATGGATAAAATTACTTGTGCGGCGGCTCCAGTCACCATTTGTGTAGCAAATCAAAAGGGTGAAGGACCAGCTACAGAGCTGATGAGTTTTGCACAATATATTCTAATGATTTCATGCATAGGTAGCAGCAGTCAGCGCAAATGATTACCAGACGATGCATTTTTCGCCATCCGACGGCACTCTTGCCAGGCATTCAAGTGCCAAGCAACGGCACTGCACGCAGACACTAAAGTGCCGTCGGAGCGATTTTTTATTGTCGCTGATTTGCCTCAAAAATGGCTTAGCACACCGACAGACACGGCTGTACCATTCCCCCAAGTATTCTGGGAAAAGAAATTCGAAAGTTATTAATTTTGTTCTCATCCTGTTTTTCAAACCGAGAGCCCGGAGACTCCTTCACTGAGAAACACGAAAAAACTGCTCAACATACAGGAATCCCTCGTTATAATGAAATCACTTTTTACAAATTATCGCATTTTTTTAAGTCTGACGCAGTCCCGATCTCAATGCATGCATTTTGTACCGGATTCTTCCAAGTGTATCGACGGCCGGAGGTGCTTGATACGAAGGACGATCCGCCGAATGTACAGTCTGTGAGCCAGCGCAACCGTTCCAAGATGTGTGCAAAAAGCCATTAGCTGCAAAAGGCATATCACATTTCGCCGCTATAAATGCGCGAGTAGCGCGGAGCACGAGCCTTGCATGCGTCTGTCGCGCCCACATCTTAGGAGCTGCAACGCACCTGCCCTTCGATTTCGACTTGTCAAGTCAAGGGAGCAAAGAAGGCGGGAGATTGCCACTTCGGGAGCTCTGTGCGCGCAGAGGAATGCGGCAGCGCGTTGAGTGACAGTTCCGACACTTCAAAGCTCACACAATCCCTGTGGCCCGGTTCTTGTCGGAATCAAGTCAGGGAAGCGCATCCCCTGCCGGCACCCACCTCTTTGGAAACCACCGTCCCAAGTTATCTATAAAAACAAAAAAGAAAAACTCCGTCTCACTAACCGTTTAGTACAGCCAAAGCTACAGGGGAGAGAGCGTATGCCAACCAAGAGAAAGGAGGAACGAGGGAGAAGTGCTGGAATTCTCTCGTTCCTCCTTTCCTTCCTATTCAACAGGTCGGGATACACTCTTTCTTCTGTAGCTTTGGCTGTACTGTGGTCGACCTGGTCACGACGCACGCGATGCACGTGTTTCCCAGCTTGAGTCTACGCTGCATTTACGGATCGCATGCTCGTCGAGGCAGCGTCTTTGATATTGTGTTCTGCGTTGCGAAGGCAGCACAGCCCGTCTGCTGCGTGTACAGTAGCTGCGTGCAACCTGCTTCACTGCTGATGGCGCCGCCAAAGCCCATGCGGAAGTGTTTGACCCTGGAACAGAAAGTCAAGCTGATCCGAGAAGTGGAAAGAGGTGGTCGACGGAAGTTGGAAATTGCGAAAGAATTCAACATCCCGGCATCAACGCTGTCAACGGCTTTTCTTCCGCGTGCATACTCGATGTGCCAGCGGATGACACATAGATCTGTGACGACCTTTACAGAACCGTGCACGACATTTTCAATGCAACTCCCGAAAACGACTTTGACTCGTTTGCGCTTGTGGATGAGGACATCTCGGTTGTCGCTCCCGTCACGGATAAGAGATCGTGGACCTTGTGTGTGGCCAGGGCGAAGACGAAGAGCCGTCAGATCAGGAACCCCGACAGGTACCCACGACTTGTGGGAATTTGCGTACCGC